ATTCTGTGCCTTTTCAATTTCATGATGGATATCCTGCCGTGCCAGGCACCCAGAAGGTGGCCTTACCTGGACAGGTGAAAGAGAAATATAAGCAATGTAAAATATAGCTTAAGCCACAAATAGTTATAGTCTGGCAGTTTGTGTGAGACAGCTGGATGCCATGTGCATAGTTTTCTTTTTTCTAGCCTGGTGTTTTAAAACTTTTATTGCTCTTACTCTAATAAATTGCTCACTGTGCCTGCATGTTTGCCTTTTGCTTTTCCACATTACTTCTTAGGCCTACAGAGCAATTTTTCCCACTTGTGTGTGTATAGGTGGTGTTCTTGTCAGAGGAGAGAGTGTCGTTTGGCGATATTCCAGTCTGCTCTCGGAGCACACGCATCCTGTTTTTGACCAATGTTTCCCACAGTGACAAAATCTTGTACTCATGGAAGCTGAAAGAACAAGATGACAAGCAGGTGTGTAATATGGGAACTTACAAGGAGACGTTTATAGATACATATCATTGCTGTCATAAGATAAAGAATTTGGCAGGAGATTTTTGAGAGTTTTTTGGTCTTTATAGACTGACATCACATGTTGGGGCTCAAAAATAAGTGTGACAAAATGGCCTTAATACCCAAGTATTACTTGAATGTCTGCTACAAGCTTTATATATCTATGTTTAAAGTAGAACGGATGTAAAATATGGATATACACAACTGCTATTTTAACATCAACATAACATTGCAATATGTAGCAATAGGCGTAAAAAGCCTATAAAAACGTTTATACATACTACATAGCAATGTTTAATGCTATATGTAGTTATTTATACATAACTTTCATAATTTTAGCTTGCATTTAAACTTAAGTTACATTAACGCAGGTTAAAAACATTTTTCATTCTCTTATGAGGTTACTTTTTGTTGTGTATTAGAGGTTTTGACAATAACAGTATGCTACAGTGTGGTTGTAGCTCTTGCTTGTACATAAGTCTGTATTTCTATAGTGTATGCACGTACGTATGTGTGGATTTCTATCTCTCTAGGCAGTAGAGATCCATCCGGTGAGTGGATCTCTAGCTGCAGGCGAGAGTGCTTTCTGCATCCTTACTATATGCACCTCAGGCAGCCCCACATTCTACCAACAAGACCTCATCTGTGAAGTGAGTATCACGTGCAGGCACATACACACTCTCACAAATACTATCACACACTCAATTGCACATATATTCTCATGGTTGTGTATGGTAAATATATCAAACTCCGCCCCTCCAAACACACTGATTGTTTTTAATCAAACAGAGTGATGCTAATAAAAGCTTTGTTTCTCTATGCGTTTGGCAGATTACACCAGAGGAGGCTCTAGCTCTGTACCAGATAGAGCTACAGCAATGGGAGGCAGAGAAAGAGAGAGAAAAACATGAATTTACTATAACCGAGAAGGACCTGGTGCAGACAGTCTCACAGAACAAACCTACTCAGGTCCTGCTTTAACCCTTATTCTAATATACATACTACATTTCATTGTATTGTCACTCTACTACATATGATTATTGAAATAAACTGGACTTTTCATATGTCACTCAGGTTTGCATAGCAGAACAGAAAACCCCCTCTGAAACACGAAAATACAAGGTATAATACAAATCCTGCAGGAAAAAAGTATGTTACAAGTATCTAAATCATTAAAGAGTAAAGATTAAAAAAATCACTGATATTTTTGTAAAAAATAAAAAATCAGTATATTGGATAATATATTGGACAAATATATTGTCAAATATTTACAGATCTATGTTTGTATTTTGTTTTAGACGTTGCCACCCATCCGAAGCAGTAGCAGTGAGGCTGTGCTTGAATGGTCCCATACTAGGCAGAATCGAATGGAGAGTAAAGTCCAGCAGCAGGTGGGGAGAAGACGGCCTGAATCTCCCCGTCCTGTACTTCTTCATCTGGGAGTCACTGCACGCTCACACTCCCTGCTGGAGTACCAGTCACACTTCCCCTCTCACTTCAACAAGCATCATATCTACAGGTATGCACTCTGAAAAATGTATGTTTCAAAGATTTTGTTTTCTACATATAATTTAGATTGTATTATATAAAGTTAGTGAGGGCTAAAGAAATGTCAAAAGAGGATAAAAGTGTGTCAGTGGTGCATATGACATTCTGTGGAGAGCCTTCAAGTGTCGTTGTTCATAGGATTGAGATTGTCGATGTGCCTGCATGTTCATTGATAAATGCCTGAACTCCTTTCCAGGTCTCTGCAGCCAAAGCTTTCCCAGTCCAGATCAAATGAGAGTAAGCTTTCTTCTACACACATGCTACCCCTCACAAATGGCCCTGAGAGAGACATCCTCACATACACCCTCACATCTCTACTCAGGTACACACATGCAGACACCCTTATTCATCTCACTATTAAACAAACAAAATGATTAACAGTGGGCATAAACAAAGCACTTTCCTCCCTTAGGAGTCTTCTGGATGACCCTCAGTTTCATCAGGCTCTACAGAATGGTTTGGCTGAGCCAGTGCCCTACTTTACCCAGCTTTGTCCTGCTTCCTCCTTGTCATCCCCCATCCAGTCCCCGCCTGCAACTCAGGCACCATGTCCAGTTGACATCCCCTGTCCAGATCCACAACAAACAAGACGTCCCACTACTGTTACAGACACACAAACACAGCCTGAGGGTCAGTGCAGGCCAGAACCCCGCCAGGAGCTGCACCAGGAACTCAGGATGGAGGTGCAGGAATCCATTCGCAGGTAAGCTGCTTTAAGTCCATTCAGGACCTCACCAGCATGATCATGTTCCTGCAGTATTGTTTCACGAGGATAAAAAGCAAAAACATTGACAGAAGCAGCACAAATAAGAAGCATTTGTTCTGAACATTTGGTTGAAACATCTTATCTGCAAAAGGCTGGTGTGGCTGCAGGTTTTCATTCCAGTAACACTAGAGCACACATGATCAGTTATTGAAGACTAAATTGGAGACTAAGTGTTTAAACAAGTAGAATCAGGCTTGCTCTAGCTTGTTTAGAGTGAAAATCTGCAGCCAGCCCACACCTTGATGAAAAAGATTGGACACCCCTGATTTAGTCCATTAGGAAAAAAAACACATGTCAGCCTCATCTTAAGGCCAGCTTACAAGTGGTAAACCATGGCTGTTAGAGCTAGGCCTTCAGTTAAGGCAATAAAATCAAAACTTGTGAAAAACAAGGAAAAAACACCTCTACTAAAATGCTAATGTCTGATAGGGCTTGTTTCGAGTAGTAAACTAGTGCTAAGCTATGTATTAATACAAGCCTGTAAAAGACATTCCATGTTGTATCTGAAGTTTATAACAGACATATTAAAATATATTTTATCTTGTGTGTAGCAGTTTTACAGTGACTCCTGGTTTTCATTTCTGACTGAAACCTTGTTAGACTACTGCTCCTATTTGCAGTCAGGGTGTATCTAGGACTTCCAGAAGTCCCAGAGTGATGTTCTTTTCCGAAATAGTCCCACCCACTGTAAATCAAAACTTAATTGGTTAATTGTCCTCTGACTTCTTAATTATGTTAGTGTTAATTTGATGCATGAGGTAATTTATTAGTGTGTAATTTATTTTACAACACTAGATACCAGGTGTCCAGGTGTAACTTGAAATGCATAATGTCAACAGCTCGACCAATCAGTGAAAAATCTGAAACTTTAGGTTATTCAGTGAATTAATAACTGTCATGGTGTAACTGTCATATGAAACTATTATTCTACGTATTATTCTAGGTCTTTTACCTCTCTTTCTCTCTCTCTCTCTCTCTCTCTCTGTCTCTCTCTCTGTCTCTTTCTCTCTGCAGAAGTCCTGAGTTCAGTGATCTGACAGAGGAAATTCTACTTAATACACTGCAGAATCTGATGATGGAGGCTTTTCTGGGAGAGCTGGTTCTGACAGCTCGCCCTCGCATCATCGCTCTGCCACCCTGCTCAGCCAGGTCACAAACTAGCTCACACTCACTGCATGCCTCTTTTACTCACATGTTCTCAACTAATCACTTAGAAAATATAACAAATGCAGTTTTTAGGTTTTTCCACTGTTTTCCCTGTGTGACTGAATTTAGAGGATAAATGCCATACTCTGTGCCTATATAGGAGAAACAGCTTTGGCTCCAGGAGACAGTCCAGAGGCCCTGTGGAGTCTGAGAGAGTCAGGGATCAACAGCACCCCCTAGTTACCAGCCCGGGCCCTTACAAGCCCACCTCTGTTCTCCTAACCAACCTGGATTCTCTTCACCACTCATCTGCTCCCCACAGTTAACATCTATAATGCACTCAACTTCACTGTATTTTCTGTGCATCCAATTTTTAATAAATTATAAACAAAAAAAACATTGTGTAATGAGATTGACAACATTAAGCAATTCACTCTTCATGAAAATATTGTCACTGTCTGAACAAAACCTTGTATCTCCATTTTTAGGTTTTTAATTTTTGATGTAATATGAAAATGCTATCTGTTCTTTACATTGTGTGAATGTACCAATAGCAATTGCCCACAATTACTTGGAATAAAATTTATATTAACTTTTACTGAAAGTTAAGAATGTTTTTTCTCTGTCTTGTAAAATTAGCAATTTGGAGATAGAAGGTTTCGTTCAGACAGCAACAGTACACATCAGCTGTGAAACTAATCTAGTCTCCCTGCTTTTACTAGACTCATACAACAGATGATTCTTTTTAAGTAGCACACATATTGAAATGCATTGCTATTGTGCTTTGTCCATGTGGATGGCCAGTAATTTTAAAAACTATACATAAGTACAGGTCTGTCAAGCTATTTTTGTTCAAATAACCCAATCAAGTCATTTCCACAGTGTGGTATAAGTATATGCAGTGCAGATAGGAGCTACTTGGGAATGTCCATGATATTCTTTTTGCCTGAGTGGTCCTGCCTCCTGTTGGTCTAGTGAGTGTTTAAAGAGAACAGTCACATGGCAGGAGGCACACATTATCAAGTTAAGGAGGGAGCTGCTGAAAGATATCAGCTGGAGCAAATGCTTGGTCTTGTATGGTTCGGAGGGCTGTAGAATTCAGTAGATAGTGTGCTACTTGTTTTAAGAAGCTAACAGAGGAGATTTATAATGCATTGAATAACTAACCATTTTCTGGGAACCTTCTTGGAGCACCAAATGGGTGCATTTTATACTCTATGCTGTCACACTGAAGAAAAAGAAGAGAAGAATGCGATATTATGGTAAGTTTTCTTATTGGTGCCACAGTTCATGATTTTAGTAGTATATGTTGTCTTCTTTACAAGACATTACAATATTCATGATGACAGTTGGATTTAGGAGTATACAGTATTTTGAAACAATATAGTTCCATACAACTGTATAAATAATGATTGTATGAAATCATTTATGAATATTTATAAATATTTGCTGCTGAAAGGAGATGTTTTGTTCTTCACAAATTGATTGGATACAACATCTGAGAGGTTATTTAACTATTTCATTAATTACTGGACCTGAACTACTGTGGCCACCAATATTATACAATGCTGCTGTATTGCTGGTCAAAATATTTAGGGACTTGTTCTAAATGTTTAGGTATTTAAAGTCTTTTTAGAGGTTTCCTTGCCTTATTTTAGGAATTATATGTATTTCATGATTTTCTTGCCAGTCATCGGTCCTCCAGTAAGGTCAGTGTATCAAGTGGAAGTGAGGTTCAGCTGGAGTGTGTCTCTGAACTGGAGCAAGAGAGGAACCCATGGAGAACTCCTTGCAGCTCCACTTCCATCATAGATGGTGAATCAGACCAGGAGCTGCAGGCCTTTATCATGATGAGGAACCAGGTGGATAAAGACACTGAGGTGGGGTACAAAAACACTCAAACATATTTTACATTTTGGAATATTATATTGGCTTTTGATTGTGTCAGTAGTATTTTATTCTCCTGTCCTTCAAGAATGGATGTTAAATGACTTTTGGGATTTTTTTGGGCGAAACAGAGTTGAATGTGTGTGTAGTATGAAGCAGGGACCACAAGGCTAAATACTTTCAGTACAACAGCCCACCACATACAGCACCGACCATTATCCTGCTCCTCCTCCACTCTCGCTAATGCAATCATTCAATCAGCATTGCTGCCTTAAATCACCTCGAATCAGCCTGGATAAGGGAATCTTTCATTCCTCAAGTTGTATTAGACTTCTCGGAAGGTCTTGGAGGTGTGCATTTAACTGCGATGCTGAAGTTGGAGACAGTAAATAGTTTACATACTCTATAGTTACTTAACTGTACACGTAAGACTGTTTCTTTATGCATCTTGACATTGTCCCTACAAAAGTATGCTTAAACGTTGCTTTAAAAGTGTGTTGTGTTGATGGTATAGGTTTGAAGTGATATGATTTGGTAGGTTTACTTCAATTTTACTGTGCATATTCTTTTCTGTTCCATTTGCACAGCTGTAACTCAGAGGCACATGACCTACCTCTTGTGCTGCTCATATTGTCACAGCACAAAAAATTTAGTAGACTTATTTTTACACACTATAATAATGGGTGCTTTACTGTATGGAGAGACACAAGAACTATGGAGTGCTTTTATCATACACTACCATTGATTACTGTTCTTACATTTATAAATGATAGATCATAGATTTAAATCTAATAAACTGCACGATAAAACCTTTTAATATGTAACATAAGATTTCAAGGAATTTGAGTTATAAACTGTGAACTCTATTTGGTAATTATCTATTTACAATAATTTTTTTGTGAAGTACTTTACAATAGAGTCAGGAAATATGACTACTTATCATTATTGTGATAAACTACATGATACGTCAAAATATTCTTTTGTGAGCCTATCCTCAATATTGTCAGTATCTAAAAACACTTCTCAGCTGCATGTTTGGTTACAAAGAGGGCATAATTAGCCTTGTTTAATTAGGTTCATTGCAGCGCAGTATGTAAAATGTTGAATTTAGATCATTGTATTCATAGTTTCTATTTTTTAAATGTGGCACTACATTGTCTTTTCCAAAGATATATTGTGGCACATCGTGTACTAAGAAAATTTCTTAAATTATTGTGATATTACAGTTTTGCCAAATTGCCCACCTCTACCTCAAGATATGATCACCACTTTTCAAATGCGAGGCATTCTGGATATTCATTTTATTACAACTTTTTTTTTTTTTGATGTTATGTAGCTTTCTCTTCATTAATTTCATTCTCTTCATCTCTTCATTAATGTTTTTTCAGCTTATTACCTTCCTACGGAAAAAGCTATGAAATTGCGTAGGATTAGCATTCATTTTATACATTTATCTGAAACCAAATTGGTTTTATAATGGTGAAATCATTGATTCTATATTTTTAAAACGGTAGTATAGCTTATCTTAAATCTTTTGACTCCAAGGAACTGTCAGCATCTTTCATATTAGTTTCATTGTAGTTTCTGAATAATAGACCTGCAGATGAATAACTGAATTACAATGCATGACACAAAGGGGTTCATATCAACAGTTTATAGCAGCTACTATAAACTCTTCTGCCTTTCAGTTTTAGGGTTTGAGTATCAGTTTGCATTTGCAAGCTGTGCAGTTGTATAACTTTCCCATATTTACAGTCTCTGGCCTGATGTCCTGAGGACTAACTGTACACAAGCTGAAAAGCGTATGCTTCATTATTCACTTATTCACTTTTTAAATCCAATCCAGGTTAACCCAATACAACCAGGCCAGGCCAAGGCCTGCAGATCACTCTCTCTTTCGCTCTCTTTCGCTCTCTTTCACTTTTATGTTTTTGCACAGGTTAACAAATGTCAGCATTAAAACTTTTTGCATGTGTGTGTGTGTGTGTCTGTCTGTCTGTCTGTCTGTTAGGAGTGGGAGAAACTGAACTATGACATCCACACACTGAAGTGTACTCGTCGAGAGGTCTGTGCACGCTGGAAAAAGATTCTCCTGTTGCTGGGTGAGCCTCTGCTCTCTTCTTTTTAGCATTCCATATCTGTACCTACCCTTCATCTTAATCTCCTTTGACTGTGTTCTCAGCTCTGCACAGCATTCTTGGCACTTGAGCAGCGCTTGCAAAGCTCATATCTATGCTCATAAAAATAAAGGTGTCAAAAAGGTTTGGAGTAATGCCATAGAAGAAGCACTTTTGGCTCCCGAAAGAACCTTTTTTTGAACCTGTTTAAAGTTTCAAGAACCTCTACATAATGTAAATGTTCTATACCATTTAATTTTTTCCAGTACATCCAAGTTTTTTTATTATTGGTTCAAACCTGTGTATATGCTTCATAACCAGACGTGGGCAGAAAGTATTACATTTACTCATTTCTATGTACTTCAATGAGAGTTTGATGGATGTCTACTTCTCTGAAAGAAATTCAAACAATACTTTCATTTATATTCAAGTATATTTGTGAGGAAGATAATCTACTGTTTTTGTTTTTCAGTTGCACTTTAGCCATTCACAAATTTGTCCCTATGTACATTTTTGTGTTTAATTTCATTCTATTCTGCTGATTCATCACCTGGACAAGCTTTGCTTCATGCTGGATGTGCTAAGAAGTTCTACTGTAGTTCTATAGAGAACTCAGTACTCAAGTGTTTTTCTTACTTTATTTATTCCTAATCAAGTTTTTAGCTACACTTGCTACATTTTGTTTATTATTGTGTTATTTCAATAATTAACAGTACTTTTACTTGATTGTAGGTTTTGCCTCCTCTTCCCACTTCTGTTTGTAGCACAATGCAGGCTTATAGCACAATGGAGAACACTGAGGAGAACTTCTCATTGATGTGTGATTATCCCAGGTTACCAGATGGAGGTGGACTCGCTGCTGGCAGTGAATAAGCAGAGTGTTCTGAGGAATGGAGAGGATGTGCAGAGAGCCAGAGAGTTGCTACACACAGTATGTGAGGAGTCCAGCCTGTTTCCCCGTGGAGTGGAACCCAGTGACAGATACCTCTTGGTCATGGTAACTCATCTGTTTATCTGTGACAAATTGTGGTCAGGTTGAGTAATGAGGGGGTTATTCATAGAAAATGGAAGATATTATTCCTGCAGATATTACATGTTTGTGTGCTTGTCTCTGCCTTTTCCAGGATCGCCTGGTCTCTTTGGACAGTGCTGAGGACTTTGTCAGACTTGCCAAGGAGAAATATCCCAGAACTGAGCTATGAGAGGGACAATGAGACTCACTGGGTTTAGAAATGAAATATTTTGTATGTGGGTTTGTTGTTGGAGCGAACTGGAGGCACTGGAGAGGTTGAAGAAGTGACTCATGTGCCTACAGGAGCAAGTATCAAGGGTAAATGTACAATATTCTTGCACTGAGACATGATGTTCAACTATGTAATCACGCAATACTCAGGCTTAATAACTCAGCATATTGTAATTTTCAGGATAGAGCTAGAATTCTTCAGGGTGAAGAGGGTAGCTAACACATTCTCTGTGTATAGTTCTTCTGTGAATAGTCCACTGTTAACTCCATACCTCAAAGCACTGAAGAATAATCATTACTGAATTAGATTTAAATGTTTTTTCAAACAATAATGCATTTGTAGTATTAAAATATGATCAAATAAACATTATTAAGTACTTAATTACTTAAGTCCCTGCACATATGTTTTGAAAATATCCTCTTGGACAGTTATCACCTTTGTGGGTTGTGTCTTTTTATGTGCTGAATTTTGTGCTGACTTCATGAACTCATTCTGATACTGTTAAGCATTGTGCCAGATCTTAAGTAGATGCTGGTAAATTTATATCAAACTTTAAATCTTCAACAGAGGTTCCCAACCGTGTTTCTGGGGTTCCGCTTTTGTGTTCTTTTCCTACTCAAACACACCTGACACAACTAATCTAATTAAACTAATTAAGCCCTTCCTGAGTTAACCCCTTAAAATCCCAGGCTTATAAACTAAGGTTTATTATTCAGCAACTACAGGGACTTTAATGCAAAGTGATTAAATTATTCTTAGGTTATAGAAGTGTATAATAAAACTTTGGGCCCACTGGCAGGTCTTGGCCATGTAAAGGCTTAAAACAAGGGGGTTAAAGCAGGAAAACACTAAAACTCACAAATCGGTGGTTTAGGTGAAATTTGTAAGTAGTTTGTAAATGTCACCACCAGGGGTCAGTATTGGCTATTTTTTCTTACCATCTCTCTCACATGTTTCTCTCTTGCTAAAGCGCTGATAAAGGGTCACCAAGTGTTTGGAGATGTTGAATATCTGATGTATTAAAGTCTGTTTTGTAACTCACTCCCTTTGACAGAGGGCAGGGTGCAGTGTGCTTTTGTTTAACGATCTCTCATCAGAGGTCCATGTGGTCATGATTTCAGTTATGTGTAGTGACCTACATATTGTTGTCTCTAAGGCCTGCTCTGAGAGGCTAGAAACAGATGTGCAGAAAGAGAAAGAGAGGCAGAAAAGGGGGGAGGGGATATAGTTGCTAGCAGGCCCTCCATGTTTGTCTCTGTTGCCTTGTGGAAAGGAAAAGACTGCACCTTGTTCTCATTATGGTGAGTGTGTGTGTATGTGTGTGTGAGCAAGTCTACTGTCACATCTTTCCAGAAAATGCTGGAAACGTACATCCGTGACAGAAGGAGAGTAAGCAAGTGTGTGAGGATGACGTAATCTCTTGGTCTCTGTGTGAAATGCTAGTCGTCCTCCTTCACCTCTTCTCGGCTGCAGCGAGGGAAAATGGCTTTGTCCATTGCTCTGCTATTGTATTTCATGATTGCTGCACATGATTACGGTCCAACTGAACTGGGTCAGGCTGCTGGCTGCTGAAGGAGACTGGGCCCCTCTCTCCATCTTCGCTTATTACCTCTCTTTCCTTTTCACTCTCTTTTTATCCCTCACTATTTCTGCACACGACTTCTCTCATTATGATTATCTCCACTTTCTTATTAATTTCCTCCATCTCTCTTTTTTATTATGCTTTTTTTTTTATTGTGTCAGAATCTGCCCTAACTTGAAGGCCAAAGATGTCTCAGGTTAGATAGAGTGTGCACAGTCCTCTGATACTGATGTCCCTGAGGTCACTCACTTCACTAGACAAAGGAGAGTGGCTCTCAGCCAACTCCTGTTAATCTCCTACAAGGGCCATAATTATTCTTCCACACTTCTTCTGTAGCACTACACAGATATGCAGCTTGGATGAGGTCAAGTGAGTCCTTGACCAGTACTCAGGAAAGTAAAAAGAATCCTGAGTGGTCTGTGGGGGGCGCTATGGAGCAAATGCTTCATAGCTCCTAAACTTTTACTCTTGCAGCATGTCTCAAAGTTCACACTTGCCATTTTGTGTACTTGTGTTAGAGTCCAAGAGTGTCCCATTTCTAAAAAAGTGCAAAAGACCCTGAACGCACCCATTTCCCATGTAACGTATATCAGCATATATCAGCATTGAAACACACTGTTTGAATCTAACACACTGTTGGAAACATCAGGAGACGAATGTTAACACAGGGACATCAGCAACTTACAGTCTTAGTACTACTGCACTGTTGATCAGCTTGGAAATATGTAACATTATGATGCACTTAAGGAAAATCACAACCCCCAAGTGTGATCTTTGGGACAGGCTGATAGAGTCACAACTTTTCTTGGATTAGATTCATTTGTTTAAGAATCTCAAACCTGGCATTTCAAACAAAGAAATCAGCCCACTTAGACTAAGCTAATTTGCATTTTCTGCATTCTGAATGAATTTTCCAAAAAGGTACTTAAAATTTGGCAGCCACTGGGCCTTCACAACTTTGTGATCAAACCACTCACAAGAGAGCTAATTAAAAAAAAACAACTTTCCACTGTGTTACAACATGCCTGCCACACATCAAAGGCTCATAGTGGGAGGGGCTACATCACCAACAGAGTAAATCCTCAACACATTGTCTAATACTTCCTATCCTCGCTCTTGGTCTGCATACCAATTTTGCTGGAATTTAGGTAATGGGAGGCACTATAGCAAGAAAATAACTTTCAGAACAGCTTGAACTTATGCAGACTGTCTTATTCTCTCTCAATGTGACATTCATGTGTGGTATACCAGCATGTTGGTGTATCAATGCAGCTAAAACTCGTGCACTCCTAGTGTGATTTTCCTCAATGTGTAACAAATCTTCTGGAGCACCCACTGAGACTACTTGCATGTACCTGCAACAACATGATTCACACCCTCTTTTAATCCATTTGGATATGAAAGAAAATGAAATCATCATAGTTTTCAGTTGTTGCCGCTTCATCTTTTACAAATAAAAGTTCTTTTACAAATATGTATTCATTTAGTGCATCATGTTTTTACTGAATATTCCTGTTTCTCTCATGACTTTCTTGTGTTTTAATAGAAATTCTGAGTGATCTATATGGCCTAGATGTGAACTACAGACCTGACTCTGGAATGAGGGCACTAAAGTCAAATGGCTCCCTAGGTCCTATTTTCAGAGCATCACAAGCAAACCCCTCTCAACCAACCAGAGGCAAACTATAGTAACTACTCCTCTCTTTCTCTCAGCATGCAGTGCCTGGGCCAGCAGTCAATGGCACCATTTTTCTACCATTTTGTTTTTTTTAAGGTTAAGGGACTTAAGTATTGGGGTGTGTGAAGCTGAACACATATCAGTGCAGAGGGGTAGCCTTAATCCTCAAAACGCATACATTTTTGTAAGTTTACAGTTAGTGGAAGCTGGTAATTTGTGTTGGGTTGTGCTGAGGAACTGAAGCTAGACCTTTATCGGTGTAAAAGGTCTCCTTCTATCTGGAATTCTAAATATAAAACCTAGCATTCACCAGCATCTCAGCATTGCCCAGTCTTACTCAGTTTTAGACAAATATTTTCCCAGAGGCCCTGTGGAGAAGTAGATGGGGTCGCAGAGGGGAGGCAGTGATGAATCTGAAGCCAGTCTCTCAGACGGATTCAGCAGAGACAGTCACCCTGGCGCTACCACAGGAGGTTGTCACATCAGTTTGCTCACTCTATCAGGCCTTCCACTCAGTACAAAACACCACACTAACGGTATGACTCAAAGCACTGTGGTTGAGAATGCCAGTGTTGGGGACTTCATGCTTTTTTTCATTTCAGTGTTTCCCTGATCTGACACACAGCTCATAAAGGTCTTGATAAGTGGTTAAAGAACTGAAGCTGGCATGTTAGATCAGGGACAATAAAAGCTTGTGCATTATGAGAGTTCCCCTGCTTTGGAACCACTGCAGAGGTGTATGTTAAGCTTTTGCGTTAGCATATCTGTGGGCTGCTATGCTGAAACATTTTTACTTGAAGGATGGGCAAGAGGACCACTATGCAGCAGTTTGCTGTCTGATAAATTTGATCCAACTTATAATGAGAGCCTTTCAGTTAATTTGGTTAAATTAAGTGTGTTAGAATAGGGGAAACAGTAAACTGTGAAGTGCTCTGAACACAATGACATCAGTTCCAGTACCACAGGTCCACAAGAACCTTTTTAATGTGTTATAAATATATAATACTTCCCAGCTTTACTAGTTAGATCAAGATTTGGTTGTTGAGTCATAATATATCTGTTATTTTGAGTACAAGATAACTAATGCCCAAGACATGCAAGACATTTTTTTTACTTTTTAACCTTGTTCTTATTTTCTATGTGAATGCATTTAGGGCTATACTATCACACTGAAGGCAGAGGACGATGGTTTTCTCATTATAAGGACACTTGGCAGGGAGTACTGAAACTGTCTGGCAGATTCTAAACTTTGCGCACATCTCTCTGCTCTTCATTCTGCTGCCCAGCAGAGTGAGACAAACCTGGAGCCAGAACTTATCTCCCTCCATCCCTCAGCAATATGTATGTGTCTCTTTTTATCAATGCAGAACCACAGAGACATAGAGAGGTTATATGGAGTTCAATGTTATGCATGCTCTACAGAAGGCATTAACTGGTCTGAATATAGATGAAGTTCAAAATAGAGATTTTATGTTTTGTGTGCTGGTGAAAGGCTCAATTTTACCATTAATGATGTACTATTTACATGTTAATATGTACTCTATGAACCCAACATATTTATTCGGTAGATATAGGTTAGGAAGATCACACTGAAAATCCTAGGTTCTGTAAAAAAAAAAAAAAATATTGACAAGGTGAGATATGAAATGTGACATGAGTTGCTTATTACTGTGATAACATCCAAAGCGGAACATTCCAGAGTTACAGCTGTGGAGTGGCATCCCAGATTAGGAGATGTCAAGGTCTGTGTCAGGGTCCCTCAGCTCCACCAGCATAGTGTGCAGTGCTACATGAGCTCAGACACTATAACTCAATTTGCTCACAACCTTGGTATTTAGAGTAAGTGTAAACAGATTGCTGTCAAAAAGCTGCTTAATTGAATGTAGGAATGAGGCTGCAAAATGAATGGATTTAATTCTCTCTTAATGGTGTGGGTGTGCTATGTTCCCATATGGCAGTAAATCTTACTGCACTAAATATTTTGTGAAGCATAAAAGTTTAGAGATTGTGTTGATTAATAAATGTTCA